TATATATATATATGTATAATATAATTGATAGATAGATAGATACATCATTTGCAATTTGCCCTTTTTGCGCTTTCACCTTTGCACTTTTGTATTTTTCAGAATAATTCGTCTGCCTCCAACCAGACGACATTATCATGGACTGCCAACCATCTTTTGCCGGTTCAGTAACTAATACCAAGCCCATGGAAATATTAAATAATCGGTTATTTCTCTACTCGTACATAGCTAAATTAAAATTAAACTAAAACCCCATCTTTCTGTGAGATCTTGAGCAAAATCCCAACAACCATGTAAAATTTATCATCTAACTATAACATTAGGAGTGGAACAAATAAATCTCGTAATATCAATGATATAATGATATATATATGAATATGATTATAAAATATAAAAGGTTTAGGAAAGTTGCTTGCCTACTACTGTGTCATTACTGTTTGCTGGTAAACCTTTTTAAGTGTTAGACAAATTGCGTACTCATCCGCACAGTTAGGAAACGCACACACGCAAGCCTGCACATTAGCACACGCTGCTATATATGAAAGTGTACGCGAATAACGTCTATCACATTGCTATACTATTAAACGGCATTTCCATACTGTAACATATAGTTAGATCTGTGTTTGTGCTCACCCAATGCTGTCTCTGTCAAGGGAAATGTTATTTGATTGAATTTACACACTTTAAGCACAGATCACATGCTCATTAGTGGTGTGATATGAAAACTTCTAATCATATTTTCTCGATTTAATCATTATTATGAGCTTTTCTTTAATATTTTTGATTATGTATTTTTATAGAGATGTACACATTCGTAGACACAGTTGTTATCATTGTCAAGATTCGAACACGACGTGTATTTCGTTTATATCATATGCGAGATGTACGGTATATCGATGTGTTGTAATTGACAGTAATTAAATAGAACGAGTAGGCCTACCATTTACTTGAAAATAATTATAGGCATGTATTAGTCAGAACAATACAATCTGTATACACGCAGAGAAATACACACAGTTCAGAACAGAGTATATAGTAAGACGTGTAGTAGTAATACATAAATTGTTGAATTGAATTGTTCATATAATTGTATATCATTGCACAGTGCACTGCACACCTACTCACATCGTGTGAGCCATAGAAAGAGTATCCTATTTACTCTCTCTGTACTATCATATGTGATGATGTACTCGTGAGTTTGAGAAAGCGCTACCATCTATAGCCGAATTGAATTCATGTGTACCATGGATGTACATACATACATCTATTATGTGTTCAAACAGTAATACTTACACTAGCAAGACACCGCAGATTTCATTACGGGACGTCTGCGATCTGGTACTACATAAATTATGGTACCCGACTGAAGCTGTGTTACATTTTCCCTTGCAATGATTCTCCTGTGTCTATGATAATGATGGCTATATCAGAAAGCCGCGACTATTAAGGATACTGTTAGGGTTACGGACGGGTACACTGTAAAAAGCATTGCAACATAACTGCTCATCAAATTCAATCAAACTCATATCCATTACATAAGAAAGATGTCTCTCTACGCTCTCGATTTTTTTTAATGCATCGCTAATTAACCATGCGCAACAACAGCTCGAGATGCCCGCGACAGCCTATTCGTCGAATCATCCACAAACGCAATATTTATAGGTATAACAACTAAACTCGCGGGCACGTGTATATCTTTCGCGTGGAGACCCACAGGCACTTGGAGCGTTTCAATACAATATTCAATTAGCTAATATAATGCTTAAAATAAATCCGAAATCGCTATTTACTAGCGCAAGTCTTAAACAATTTATAAAAATAAAAAAAAATAAAAAAAAAAAAAAAAAATATTAAAAAAATAAAAAAAAAATAAAAAAAAATAAATAAATAAGAAAAAGATTTAAAATAATAATAAAAAAATAAAAATAAAAAAAAAAAATAATAAAAAAAAAAAAAAATATAAAAAAAATAAAAAATTAAATTAATAAATAAAAAATAAAAAAAAATATAATAAAAGATTAAATAAAAAAAACTAAAAAAACATAAATAATAGAAAAAAAGATAAAAAAAAAATACTTATAAAAAAAAATATAGAAATACAATAAAATAAAATAAAAAAAAAATAGACAAAAAATAAATAAATAAAAATAATAAAAATAGAAAAGAATAATGGAAAAAGTAAATAAAAAAAAAGAAGAAAAAATATATAAGAAAAAAAGAAAAAAAAAAATAAAAAAAAGAAAAAAAAATAGTAAAAAAATTAAATAAATCAAAAAAAAAAAAAAAATTAAAAAAATAAATATAATAAAAAAAAAAATAATAAATAAATCATAAATAAAATAAATAGAAAAAAATTAAAAGAAAAAAAAAAAAAAAAATTATATAAAAAGAAAAAACAAAAAATTAAATATAAAAAAAAAAAAAAAAAAAATTTATAAATAAATAAAAAAAATTATAAAAAATAGTTATAAAAAAATAAAAAATAAAAAAGAAAAAAGAAAAAAAAAATAAATAAAAAAAAAAAAATAAAATAAAAAAAATAAAAAAATAAGAATAAAAAATAAAAAAAAAAAAAAAAAAAATAAAAAAAAAAAAAAAAAAAAAAAAAAAAAATAAAAAAAATATAAAATAATAAAATAAAAAAAAAAAAAAAACAAAAAAATAAATATAAAAAAAAATAAAAAAATAAAAATATAAAAACAAAAAAAAACTTAAAATATATAGAGAAATATAGAAAAAAAATAAAAAATAAATAAAAAAAAATAATAAAAATAAAACAAAAATTAAAAAAATAAATATTAATACACAAATAAAAATAAAAAAATAACTTAAAAAAAAAAAATACGAAAAAAAAAAGAATGAATTTAAAAAAAGTGAAATATAAGAAAGTCAAATAAAAAAAAAAAAAAAATTAAAAAAAAAGAAAATAAAAATTAAAAATAATAAACAAAAATAAATAAAAAAAAAAAAAATAAAATAAAATAATAAAAAAAGGTATAAAAAAAATAAGAAAAAAAAAAAACAAAATAAAAAAAAAAAATAAAAAACAAAAATAAAAAAAAAAAAACTTAAAAAAATAAAATAAAAAAAAAATAAAAAAAGGAAAAATAAAATAAAAAAAAAAAAATAAAAAAAAAAAAAAAAAAAAATAAAAAAAATGTTTTTGCTACTCTCCTTTCGCCTATTATGCCGACAATCTTCCTAGTACGAATTGTTCGTTGTTAAATGAATTATTTTTCTATTATTATTATTATTATTATTATTATTATTATTATTATATAGTATAAAACTATATATTTACGTGTCAGTGGGCGGCAGCGTGCATGCGGTGTACATGTGTGTTGCAGATGAACATTTGCACGGCATTTACAGGAAATTGTCGGCAATAATAGACGAACGAGAGTAGAGAAAGAGACTTTGGTAGTAAATAGATTTCGTATTTATTTAGCATTATATTTTATTGAAACGCTCCAAGTGCCTGTATGGAGACCGTCTGCGCAGTAGACGCGCTGCAGCCGATCTCTGCACGTTCGTGACGGGATTCATTCACTCGCGGAGCGAACAGCTCCTTCTGCGCTCTCAGGTACGTCGACAGAACCTCGACGGCGTCGGGTCGCTTGCGCGGGTCGCGTAGCTTACAGCGGCCGTGCGAGCGTGTCTAGGTACCGGCGACGCGCTCGCTGCGAGCGTCCATGATCTCGTTCGTCTCCGGTTTCGGCTGAGATACAGCAGACACACGTCAGGCATCTTCCACACGTCCGCCTTGAATGCAGCTGCTTCAGCTCGTCGGCGCATGCGCGCTGCTGCAGACGACGACATGCGTGCACTTCTTTCGCGACATCTTCTTCGTCTCCGGCGAACACGAAGCGCCAGTCCTTCGCGAACCAGACGGGACACGGCGAGCTCGCCTCCTGAAGTGGTCGACGTCGGCGGCGACGAGCCGGAAGTCGTCGGTGAGCAGGTACTGCGAGCTGAGCTTCGATAGGTTATTCGTGTCGCACATGATGCGGCCCTCTCCGTGCATGAAGGCGACGATCTGTGCGTAGTCACGCACAACTGCAGACGCAACGCCGTGCGCCGAATTACTGTGTACGAGGTTCGATTCCCAAAGCGCCTCCTCGAGCATCCACGAGTTCTTGAGCGGGTAGTATTCCATGACGATCAGGCATTTTTGTTCGCAGTAACCGACACAGCGCGCGCAAGAGAGGGTTTGGTTGGAAGAGCAGGTAGTTTGCGAGATATTAAAAAAATGGTTCTTGAAAGTCGTCTGAAAACGAAGGTAGGCTATCGTCTGGTTCTCCAGCGTCCCATAAGCACCTGAAATTAGTAGGAGAAAATGTTCGACATCGATGTATAGGGAGCAATTTTTGTATAATTGCAATGACGCCTATTACAAGATGTTTACGCTAATTCAGTGTAAAAGTGTCTAATCTACTAGGAACTCACGTACAAATGTCAATCTCGGACCACGATTGCAAGCATATCAACAGCAGATTACTGCAACCGTATATTATAGAAAGCTTACGTGTTCATTCCGCCTTTCTTGAGATAACCGTGATCCGTATCTGACTGATCTCGTCACGTCCAGCCATGGTCTGCAGGCGCTCATCCCCGCAAGGCGAAGTATCCATGCTCACAGCTAGGGAAGCACGTGTTTTGATTTTGCGTGCTGTTGGTCGCTTCCAAGACAAGTTGTTCCTGTATCTATAAAAAGTGATAATTATAATATTGATATGAATACTACATTAATTGTCATTTGTCATTTCTACATATTGTCATTATTAACCTCTGATTATATCAGAGCGTATTAACCTTCTTAATATTATGCTTTTGATTATATATATATATATATAATGCATATAATACACCTCACACACACACACACACACACAACACACACACACACACACAACACACACACACACACACACACACACACACACACATTATTGATAGATGCATGTAAAAGTGTGGTGCTTACGATTTCCGGAAACTCCATGTTGACTTCGGAAGGGGCGTCGTGCGAACATCGTCGAGAACGTTGAAGAGTCGATTGTGTAGAATGCCAGAGAGTAGATAGATGATTCCTGTATGTTAACATGTGATAATTTCAATAAATACAAAACACTGACAATGAAACTGCTTTAATTTAAGTGCGTTAACCTTTCGCAAACTTTAAAATACATATAACGAAAGGCATGCATACCAATGGCGAATATTAGCGTAAATATTAGGCTTGTGCATATTTCATCTACCACACAGATGTGTTATCGCACAAGAAACAAACACCACCTGTAGTTACTTACCTGAAGCAAGAAGCCCGTACGGAATGTACATCCGACACATGCGTACCGACACCACCGTCGCCAACATCATTTCGTGTCTGGATGCGCGTTACTGCTTTAAGCACGTAGCAGTCTAATACTCACTAACATCCACATAGAACGGCTTATACCTATCGGCCGTCAACTGATCAAGCCACCACATCCATGACCGACCTACGCCAATCCTGGGCAGCTGCGCTTACATTGTTAATGCCATTTGTTTAGGAATATAGGCGTGACCGGCTTAGGAACCATTTACGTCGACGGGATACCAGTAAACTAAGCGGCGTTACCACTTACAGAGGTGGCGCTGATATTCCTAAACAAACACTGAACGAGTTTACGAGTACGTAGCGATACGAAGCGTTGTCATATCTCGCTCTTCCTCGCTCCACTCTCTTTTTCTCTCTCCCTTCCATTTTCTCATCTTATATCTATATCTATATCTATATCTATACTATATCTATATCTATATCTATATCTATATCTATATCTATATCTATATCTATATTATATCTATATCTATATCTATATCTATATCTATATCTATACTTATATCTATATCTATATCTATATCGATGTCTTATCTATATCTATATCTATATCTATATCTTATATAGATAGTCTATCTATATTATTTCTATATCTATATCTATATCTATATCTATATCTATATCTATATCTATATCTATATCTATTATCTATATCTATATCTATATCTATATCCATATCTATATCTATATCTATATCTATATTATATCTATATCTATATGCGATCAGAATGTAGTCTTGCTTTATTATATCATTAATTTAGATAACAGTGAGTTCTGGTGGCCATCAACAATCAACAATTAACTTTACTCACGGGATCGTGGCATACATAAAGAAAAAACGGACCGTTGTGACGTTACGGCTGGACTCATATTACAGGAATGATTTTCCGTAGGTGTTCCGCTTGTGATTAGCAGGTATAGCAGTTTGCGCAATTACTCATATCATACATATGCTATATACATATATAATAATTTCACGATTTTTTAATGAAGACATCCGAAATGAATCTGATTATCACTTCGATGTCGGCATTCTAAAAGTAACACTGGCTAAAAAAAAGAACCATGGCGTTACTATCGCATGCTGTGTTATAGATGGGCCAGCGGCTGTCCTTAGAGACACATGCACTGGTCGCTTCCTTACCACAGCGGAAAACGCGACCTCGCTAGTACCGTAAGCGATGAATTATATACTGTCACAAATAATCAGTGGAACCAAAAAGTGACTACTGTGACAAGTGATCTAGTATAAACAGGCTACGCAACAACACGAGGAAGGCAGCTGAGTAAAGTTATAACGCGTTATAACGCAACACACACACACACACACACACACACACACACACCCACAACACATAAACCACACACACCACACACACAGC